CTGACCTCTGTCTGTCTCTCATTTGGAGGCGTTTCCTGACCTCTGACTGTTGTTAAATCTCATGTGGAGGCGTTTCCTGACCTCTGACCTCTGTTTGTCTCTCATTTGGAGGCGTTTCTAGTCTTGTGTCCATCCTGAATCAGCTCATCCTCTAACCTCGTTTTATCTCTGTACATCCTCCGTCTGTGCTCATCCTTTCTTAAATGAAGTAGTACTTGCATGGTGCATGGTCTTCAGTTCTCTCCCTCTCCTCCTCCCTCCCTCTTTTCTCTTTCCTCAGTGAAACACCCAGGACTAAAGATCCTCCGCTCCGATTCCAGTAGCTCCATCTCATCTCGTATAGGTTGGACCTCTCTAACTATCCCCTTTTCTCCTGATTGCCTGTCTTTTTCTTTCCTCCTGGACTCCTCCTCCCTCCTCTTCTTTAACTGCCCCCTGTCATTACCTCTCTTCCTCTTTGTGGCCTTGTGGCTGAGCCTGATCACCTGACTAACATGACCCCCCCCCCCCTTCCAACCGCCGCCTTGTTCCTGTTTCAGGGATGGCGGCGGCGCTCGTCCAGACCCCGTCCAATCAGCTGTGTGTGTCCGTGTGTCATCTCTGATGTGTGTGTGTGTGTCTTCATCCCTCCATGGGGACCAGGCAGTTATGTCATATTGTCTCTTGTGTCTCTCAGTGACCGTCACTCCTGGCTATTTCTGCTGCCGAGGTATCTACTCTTCCTCTGTCTTTCACTCCATCTGTCCCACTCCTCCTCCATCTGTCAGCCTCCATCTCTAACCACAGCTGGTCCGTGCGTGTCCATATCTGTGTTTTACTGGGCCTTGGTCAGGTTGCTGCGTGCAGGGCGCTGATGTCCATCATGTGTCTGTGTGCCACGTGTGCGCCTCATGCTTCCCCCTCTCACAACCAACAAGCAGGACTTGGCCAGTCCCTGGTCTTTCCTCTTCACTTTGCGTCTCCGAGAAATTGTTAGCCGATCGCATCTGGTTGCAAAAAACAAAACGAAACAAAAAAAAACAAAAAGCAGGCAGGGGTCTGAGCTAATCCCAGAGGGAGGGGGCGGAGTCTTAGACCTGGGCGTGGCCAGCCTGGGAGCTCCTTAACTGTGATGGCTGGTTGGTGGGACACAATTACAGGGTGCACCTGGCTGCCTTTAAGTGGGGGACATAATTGCAGGGTGCACCCATTTAATTGAGCGCCCTCGCTGTCCTGTTGCTCAGGACGGTGGCGGTGAAAGCTGCAGGCCTCTCTTTCCTCCCTCATGCCTCTGTGTCCCCCCCATCCCCCCCCCTCCTCACCCCTCTGTGTGGCTGGCTGCTCCAGGCTTCTCGTTGTCTGCTGGGGCTGCTGCACTTCTTCTCCCCGTCCAGGAATGCTGCTGGATGGGAGATCAACTCCTCTCCTGTTGAGCAAAAGCCAGGCATGCCCCCCCCTCATGCCTGCCCCCCCTCCACACTTACTGTGTATCCACAGCAGTGCTGAGAGGCTCTGAAACTGTAACCTGAAGTACTGAAACAGAGAGAATAGACGCTGCGCTTTGCTCTCAGACTCGTTGAAGAGAATACGCAATGAAAGTGAGGTCATGGTGTTTTTATTCTCGTTAAACTGGAGACACTTGTCACCGCTTCAGTTTCACATTGTGTTATTTTATACCTGTTGTGTTTTTAAATCTAGACGAGCCACATTCTTTAACTAATGGCAGTTTTTAAAAGATTAAAAAAGCTGTGTTTTGGTTTTGAGATGGCCCCCGTGACCTTTGAGGGTTTGAAAGTTTTAGATTCCTACAGACAAAAAGATGTGACTGTTTCTTTAAAAGTAGCCTCCATCTACTAGAGCTGTTAGATTTAAACCAGCTCAGCCTCTTCTCTAAAACTGCCCTGATTTCCATCCA